ATTTCCAAGCAGCAAGTTCTAAATTTTACACATTCGTACATGACGAGATAAAGCACAATGAGATAATGATCACAACATTATTTTTAGCATTTTGAACTATTAATGATTGAAGAAAATTTTTTTATATATTTCCTATCCGTGAAAAGCACTTTTAAAAGAATTACAATTTGAAGAAGCGTTTCTGGGTTTTCAAAAGATTATTTGCAATTATAGTATCGTATTATGATGTGTAATATGCAAAAAGCATCTAAAGGGTAACAAGATGGGTTCTGTAAAATTGTGTATATGTCGTGCAATGAAAAATGCACTTACATTGTTTTTTTGAAAATGGTGCCCTCGAAAGCTATACCCCGTGGGAGACGGTATTTCCATTCTTGGAAACAGTGCCGAAACTCGTTTACTGAAACTGCTTCGTCAGTCATAACCCTTTCGAACATTGTCGATAGTTCTCAAATGATGTCTATTGAAATTATTTCTGACATTTGGAGAAAGAAAGAATTCATATGAATTCAAATCTGGGGAGTATGGAGATCGCGGAAACACAAGAATACGTCCGTTGGTGGAAAATTCACTTACAGAAAGTGAAGGACTTCTAGAACGAGGATCATCTTGTACGGTCTCATAGCCTTTTTATCCAAATTAGTTTGTATCGTATAAAACTTGCACTTTGTATAAAACTTACTTTTCGTAAAGCTGTTTCACTTTATTAAATGTTTCTATTAAGTTGTGTTCAAGTATAATACAAAAGTCACTGGCACAACGCTGCTTAATATGTCAATGTTTCATTTCCATAATGTGTCATTGAGACATGCTTTCATAAAATTCGCTGCGAAATCACTCGTGTTAGCTGAATCGATTTCAAATTAATACAAATGTTAAGGTAGAGATACACGTCTGAAACATCACCGCGGAATTGATACGATATTGACATGTTTCATTACTTTTTAGATATCTCTCCTACGTAACAAAATATTCGGTTTAAGTCTGAATTAAGTATGAGTTGGATCCGAGATATGTTTAAAATGTGATAAACGTATCTTATATCAATTGAACTGAGAAACATTTATGAACGTTCCGAGAATTCATGAAAAGCTTGATAATGATCGAGGAATTGTATGAAGACAAAGGAAAGGTGCTTTTCGTAGCAGGTGGGATTTTGCAAATGAAATTAGAACAAATCCAAATTGTCCTCAAACTTGTAATAGATTTACAGCTGCTGAAACGGCAGGTTTTTAAATCAACTGACTGTACAATTGTTCAATGTGCTGATAGTGGAATTGTCTATATTCGTAGCCCTTAACCATTTTGCTGGTAATCGCCACGTATTGATAGTGATAATAGTGACTCGATGATTAATCATGAAATAAATATTGCTATACCTATAGTAATAACACTGTGGAACACGATTTTTGTTTTGTAATAGCCACTAGGTGGTCCTTATAGAGTGCCTTACCCTAAATACGAATCCGAAAACCAAATTGCCGGGACAAGTCCAGTTATCGAAAAAAATGGGTTTTTGTAAAAACGGTCGAATTTTTCAGAAAACCAAGTGTTACGTGAAAACTAAAAACGACAGGCAGTTAAAATTTGTCGTAGAAAATAGAGGAGACTTGCCCGAATATGTAGCTGTACAAATTCTGAATTTTGCCTGTCATTAAATGTTTATAAATGATGATTAATGTTTAAAAAAGGTTAGATGCGTGTACTTTGTACGCACTTCTGTTACATTTCTATGAAAAGTGAGTTGACTAGCACGAATTTGCTATATAGACCATTGGATTTTGAAGACGTTTCTGAAGAGGAACCCCCTCGCGAGAAGCGTGAGAACGGTTTTTCTTTCGGACAGGTTAAGAAAATCTCCGTGAAAAGCGCGTGCACAGAACTTTGGCGCCACACGGCCATCGCTCGCCGGCCACATCTATTCAAGGCTGAGACTACGCATTGTATAGATCTGGACACCCCGATCACTTTTTATATGTATATATAATGTTTAATTGTTTTATAAATTTTCATAATAATTATGAGAAAGTTTTTCACGATCGTTCTGTTTTAAACAATTTGCTGTTTAATATGTGAATACACATATACGAGTAATATTATTACGATGATTAACACTAAAACTATCAGTAAACTTAATTAATTTTTAAAAACATTTTAGATATCTAATATTTTCAAAATATTAATAATCAAAAGATAATAAAATTCATACCGGCCATCTTGACTGATTCGATAGTTTTAGTGTTAATCATCATAATAATATTACTCGTTCCGGGTACGTTCGCAAAGTTCTGTGCTTGTGCTCTTCACGGAGATTTTCTTAACTTGTCCGAAAGAAAATCCGTTCTTATACTCCTTGCGGGGGAGGAGGGTTCTCCCCTCTTTAGAAATTTCTGTAAAATCCAATGGTGCATAGCAAATTCGTGCTAGCCAACCCACTTTTCGTAGAAATGTAATAGAAATGTAATAGAAATGTGTACAAAGTACGCGCATCTATCCTTTCTTAAACATTAATCATCATTTATAAACATTTAATGACACGCAAAATTCAGAATTTGTACAGCTACATATTCGGGCAAGTCTCCTCTATTTTCTACGACAAATTTTAACTGCCTATCGTTCTTAATTTTTACGTAATACTTGGTTCTCTGAAAAATTCGACCGTTTTTACAAAAACCCATTTTTTTCGATAACTAGACTTGACCTAGCAATTTGGTTTTCGGATTCGCATTTAGGGTAAGGAACTCTATAAGAATCACCTAGTGATTATTGCAAGACCCAAAAAAAATTACACTTGTTCCACAGTGTAATTCATTGTTTGAGCATATACGTTTTTAAATTATTCATTGTTCTATGAAACTAAGGAAAATTCAATTGTCTGCTTACGTAACATCAGTTGCAAGTAACTTGTAATAGGAGAAATTAGTGGCTTTGGGTGATTTTCGCTGATTCTCTTTTCTTCTCTTGAAATTTCTCTCCTTGTAAGAAGTAGAATTTTTTGGTCGCGTCTTTCCCGCTTTTTCTTTAACAGTCTTGTCTGCAATGTTTTTGGCATCTTACGTTTAGAATAATACCAAAAATTATAAATTTTGTTCCTATTGAAGTGATCATCGCCTAGATCGCTGCGGGCTTATTGAGAATTTTGTTACACAGGGTATTTTCTTTCCTTTTTATTGATGTCTTCAAGTTGGTCTTAGCGAAAAATGTTTTCTTGATTCTTTCACAGGTGTGGTTTGGGTAAACCAATTGCACAGATAAGAGCGGTTCCTGATCCGAAATAACAACGGATATTGTATGAAAAAAATTTATTCAGGTGTGGAATATGCGTTGCAAATTTAGTACCGAAATATGTTTTAATTTAATTGAAAGTGATGCAGTTTAAAAGCGAAGTATTTGCTAGTCATTATTAAATTATCATATAATAGTGATAGTATTAAAAGTCTAGGCTGTCTGTTTTTTCAAAAATGAATAATATTAGCTTTAATGCTTGCACGGCCTGGAGTATTACATTCATGAGTGGCTTTCGGGTGAGAGCCGTGTCCAATAGGAATTTCTTCCTAATGTTTCGCCATCATTGAAGCTAGCTTCATCAGGGGTTTAAAGACACACTGGTATGCGTCTAGAAAGACTGTCTTTATATAGGTACCTGGTTCATGTTCCGGATCGATGCTCACCGATAGTTTTTAATTGGTTAATAGTTCAATTTTAATTTTATTTACCAATTAAAAACTATCGATGAGCACTGATCCGGAACATGAATCAGGTACTTATATAAAGACAGTCTTCAATCCCTGATAAAGCCAGCTGCAATGATGGCGTAACGTTGGGAACAAATTTCTATTGGACACGGCTTTCACACGACAGCCAGTTTTGAATGTAGAATAAATATGTTCGAAAACAGAAAATATTGCCAATAAAAAGTCAAATAGATTAGCACGAAAAATTAAATTTCTAATACATAGTTTTCGAATGATAAGAATATTTTGTGTACTTCGGGCATAAATGTAATATATTCTACTTGTATGTAATGTTCATCGGAAATAAATCACGTAACTTCACAGAATAGAATTGTCCTGGTTGAAATTTGTTTGATCAACGATCCGTAATGCTGGTATAATTCGCGTCTACATATTTAAATGTATGATACTTCTAGCTGAAAGTAATCATGAAGGTTTTCGATCGAAATCGAAATCAAAATCGAAATAATGATATACTTGGTCCTATTTATAATATCATAATATAGTTGGTCCAATCTCTATGACTGATCGCCTACTGCCTCTTACACTTTATAGTTAAGTATCAAGTCGCTTGCTTTCCAAGTGGCACTGCCATTCGAACGAATAATTAAACGTAATGTGTACGAAGAAATTTCCACAGGTCCAGGGACAGCAATGCGGACACTTTTGGTAATTCATTAGTATGTAGTAAATTAACGCGTGATTCTATCGCAGTGCATCCTGTGAACCCTGTCAGCGAACCTTGTACAGCTTTTAGAATTCGAATGTTTTCAAATCTACGGTTGTTAATCGATCGAGATAACTCGAAGCAAAAACGGGCAGATGTCGACGAAGACGAGCATTATTGATCTCGAATGAGTGAACGGTCACTAAGTAAAAGACTAATAATGTGAAACATTCTCGCTTTGCTAGTAGATTCACTAGATTCAGCTTTTCCAAAAGAGATAATTCACATGGTACCAGTCTAGCCTGATGCATGTAACGGAACGCGTAGAAGTTTTACGTAGGAAATTTAGCGAATGAATAGCGAACGAATATTAGTTTGCATTTGAAATCCATAACCTCGGATTCAAATTCAATTGATACGCAAAAGCGGTCATTAGACGGCGCTCGACTCGGAGTATGGTTTGCTGAGAATAAAATAATCAAATGCGGATGAAATATTTCAAAGGCAAAGATTTGAAAAAGAGCATTGAAAGAGACGGTAGTGCTCGTAGAGAGTTGTAGAAGATTGACTGAGCAAGGGTTGTCTTTCCGGTGTTGCAGGATGCACGCGGTTGGATTGCACTCGGCGCTGGCCATCAAGCGTCAGAGAAAGCGTCGGGACGAGCAGCGTCGTGCCCGCGAACGACGTTATAGCGCACAATCGGGCGACAGTGGCTTGACATCGCCCAGGGCATCGACCGGTTCTTTGGACCATCACCCGAGACACCACAAATCCGGCCATTCGAATCATTCCGCTGGACAAGGGATGTTGGACACAAAGGTTATCACGTCGATTGGAATGCTTCACATTGGCGTCGTCTTTCTGGTCCTCGGCGCGTTTCTCTTGATGAGTGGTTTGCTACCCGGTGACTTGTCTCAGTGGGGTTCCAAAACTTCCAAAGGATGGTGGAACGAACTGGTGGCTATCGGATTGTTCGCCGTTTTCGTCGGAGTGTTGTTGATTATCCTGAATCGAGTGATCGCTAAGAAAGAGGAAAACGACTTGGAGGAGTACGTTCAAAGGCAACTGACTAGATCCAGATCAGGACACAGACTTGAAAGAGATGCGGAGACCGGAGTACTGACCACCAAACACACCAGGAGAGTACGACAGATGCAGCAAGCAGCTTCGAGCGCATCCATCGAGACGGAGAACGAGAAAGATTCGGGGTCTCCTCCTAGGAGTCCTCCACCCGCTTATTCGCCTCCGCCGACGGTGAACGGGGATCACCAGGCTGTGCAATCGGCGCTCTACCTGGAGCAAATTACCGAGGAGGAGATCATCAGCGACCGCGTAGAAACATCGACGACCAATAGCTTGAGCCCTGGCTCGCCCAGCGAGACCAGAGAATTGTTACAGAACCCTCGGCATTCGAAGCAGAATGGAAACCCGCAGCAGGTTCATCGGCCGCTTTACGTATCTAGAATCTAGATAGGTGGAAATCTTTCAAATCGTTTCTAAAGTAGAACGACCGTGGAAATGCCATAGCGAGAGCCAGTTTCTGTTAGGCAATTTATACAATGACAAGTGTTTTTCTAACCTGATATTGTGAAACTATATGTTTCGAACTTGTTCGCATTACTTTCTCGATTTATCTAAATTGGTCGATTACATTCGAGCGACACGAGATGGAAATTTACTTCGAAATTACTTTCTAATTACTTCCAAACATACTTGGTAAAAGGCAAATATATGTTCATCAAACGAAGAACGTACGGAGACTCGATGAGTATCCGACCATTCGGCAAGCAGTTTTCTATATCTTGAGGAAAAGTTAATTGTTCTCGGGCTTACATACTTACTGTTATAATACGCTAAGGTGATACTCCGAGCTTCTGTATCTTTCATATTCTGTCGGTGGAAATTATCGAGAACTCACAAGTCGTTTCTTGAGGCGGTCTTCATAGAATGCTAATACCTCGGTAGATCTCCGCAGTAACCGATTTTAATCAAACTGTCAAATATTTCAAGAATTCCACGTTTCGAACAACTTTTTCCTTTAAAAAAAATGTTGCTGACATTTAGTTTCCGAGACAATCAGGAAAAATTGTTGGTATTGTACATTGAATTTTATATACGTGAGCGCATCTGTGAGACGATTACAGGCATAACCGCGCGGCCGCTGTGGCTTGCATCAATCAATCCTCGATTTTCTCAGGTTACGTGTACTCTTCCCGACAAAAGTTATATTAATATTGAAATGAATTTGCATAGTAAATGCATTCCCCTCCCAAACAGACTAGCCTATATCGATATTTAGTATCAGAGTAAAACTCATTTCTACATTTTCTCATATATATATATATATATATGAGAAAAAGTATGAAATTGTCGCGATCGAGTCAAAACTTTTGTAACAAAGTGTACCCATATGAAATCCGACAAGGCGTCAGCCGGTGCCCAGTCACGCGGTATGCTTGCGGTCGTCTCATGGACACGCTCACCTATACAGAATTCAATATAGTGGTAGCAAAAGTTTCTCGCGATTATCTCGGAAACTAAATATTAGCGACATTCTTTTTTAAACGGAAAAGTTGTTCGAAATGTGCAATCCTTGCAACATTTGACAGTTTTATTAAAATAGGTTACTGCGAGGATCGTAATTCTATCGTGTTTAGTATCATTTCAATCAGAAAAACATAACAAACATGATGGCGAAAGTTTTATTCATTAAAAGTGAGAAATAAAGAAGTTTGATTTTTAAGTTAAACGTATCAAGCTCATCGTGAGCCTTTAAAGTTGCTGAACGCTTTGACTCTCAGTTTTTCATTCTTTTTCCTTTACTCGCGTTGTTTTTTTTTCTACGCCCGCCATGCTAAAATCTTCGTTCCTTGGGGTGGATTCGATTCTATCTTCATAATTGCAACCTTCCGGTCCCGTTGAGTGCTGCAATTATTCAATGTTCATTCAATTAAAAGTGTGGTTACACTATATCTAGCTGTCCCAGTGATCAATCGTAAATGTCGTCGAACGGACAAAGTACTGTGGGACCAATGTTTCACTTTCGAGTCTTTGATGTAATTACCGCAGTAAATTCATTTAAACCGAATTAATAACGAGATCGATGAATCTTTATACTGGGTGAACTTATTTCTTACACAGAAAAACTTGAATACGACTTTATAAAATCTTGTCTAATGAATTAATTACTTATTGCTATTCGTATTTAAGTTGCACAGTTTTGATACTATTTGATTTTCGATTGCAGTAAACAATGTAACCCCCGATTTATATCGACTTACTTTCTTGGAATTCATTTCCTCAAAAATGCAAGATTCTGATACTTTTCTTGACATTTTTTTACTCAAATTCTATGTTTTTCTTTTTTATAACGTGAATTTTGTTTCAAGTAATTTTCGTTTGAAAAGTCCAACCCTTATACTGAATATAAAATCCTGAAATGCAAATGGACATTGCAGTACGACACAAAAGGATGCATATCTCACTTCATGAAACTGTTTCTGATCGTATTGTAAACTTTATGTTTCGTTCAAAACATGAATAGAAACTTTTTCTTTTCCGTTTTTTATACTTCATAAGAAATCATTATTTGTATAATTATTTGCATTGCATTTTGTGTGAAAAGAAGCAAAGAAAATTCTGTTTCTATAGCGAGCATATTGCAATTGAACTTAACGTTGATATTAATGTGAGAAATATACAACGTGTTAATTCAAACATGTAAGCGTATAATACAAAGAGGAATATTATTTTCATGATTTTAGTACTCGGATTTTATACTTTCATCTGAATTCGGTATTACGGAATAGCAGATAGAATAATTACGAATGATACGTCAAACAGTGAAAAATACGTACAATTGATTGACGAATAAATGAATAGGTTTGCATTGACAATCGCTAACGAACAATTTGTTTCTAGTAGAATTGCAGCTGTTCATAAAACAAATTGCGAAGATACAAAAGTATTGAATTAATTAGAATACATATGTTTAGAATGAACCAGTATGTTTTTATGACATTAATGTGATCGAAAGGATTCGAATATAACTAATTAATAGCTATAGCTGTACAAGCCGAAGAAACAATTTCAAATATTTAACGAATTGAAAGAATGTGTTATATACAATTGATATAGGACAAATCAATGATATACTTGCAGACTGTGTATATTTAATTTGAAATGCCTTACTAGGCATTATATATGCGAACGAAATCACAAAAGATATTAAAAATATTATTCATTTTTTCAATGTTGTTGGATACAAATTTGGTATAAATTTACTAACGGAATTAAAATAATTTGTTTTTCTATTATACATTAAACTCGTTAACAGCAAAATGGTATGTTACTTTAAAATTAAGTAAAAATAATATTTATTGGATGTGATATCTTTTTGTCACGTACTGTAGAAATAATAATAATAATGACGACGATGATAGTGATAATAATAATGTAACACGGGAAAACATCTATTAGTGTCAAAGCCATTGATAAATTGATTTCGCTGCACTGGCAAGATTTTTATGTCACGATGCCACTTTATTTAGAAAGTAACGGTTGAGATCTCGATAATTTAAGCCGCGTATAGTGCTACATATATTTGTATCTTGATGCATGCTCTGGACGATATTCAGATCGGAAACAATGCAACGATACATGTACAGTCTTTTAATATCACGACGAATGCAAACTGTACGCACATTTATCGTGCTAGACCGTAAAGGACATGTCTGTCTCGATATATTATATGTAATAACATTAATTGTAAAGCTATTGAAATAAGGAAGGAAATTTGCCTGGATCAATAAGAACCAGATTTGTTTCTTCCGACAGCTAAACAGCGGTACAGATACGTTAAAAAATATGAGAACTGGAGGTGGCTCTTGAACAATTTTTAATATCCTCACAAAAATTTCACGGAATTGTTAAGATTTTACGGATATAGTGACTAGTTAACAGTGGGCAATGACAGGTCACCGTTTCGATGTATGATTCTACGAACGATTTATTTATAAAAATATAACATCACGGGAAGATTCACTGTCTAGCAACTAGTTCACCGTCTGATCAGACTGTGCGAAGAAGTTTCAAGAATGGTCCTGTAGACGCCAGTTGATTTATTCTTTACTTCGATCAACCATTACGCAATTAGCTTGAAATTCATTCGTTGATTCACTGACCTGCCAATACATTAATCAGCGAATGGGAACCAAAATTCGAAAGGTTACGTCGAGTCTAAGGTAAAAGCAAATCGATCGGTTACACTTTTCGTCCATTGAAGCTTTCATACGGTGATGTTTCCGTAAGGAAAATTTAACAACGTTAAGAGTAAATCTAACCAGGTTTTAATCCCTGTTAGGGAAATCATAGGTAATAGATGTAAGGCATTGATTAGGACATATAAAATTGTCCGAGCACTGGCGATAGTTTACTCGAATATTTCGATAAACGAGAGGATTCATATCCTAAGCTAAGAATAAGACTTGAAAATCTAACGAAAGAAAAGGAGAGAGGGAAGACGCGAGGATATACGTATGAAGCGAACTACAAAGACATGATGAGGAATTCAGTGGAATTCGCAATGGCAAATGTTCATAGATTGAAGATCGGCGAGGTTAATTAGAATCAACTTAAGCATCATTTAAGAAATACGCGCTCAAGGACCAAGATTTAATTAATTCGAAAAGGGAAGTTAAGAATTTTAACAGGAATCGAACGTAATAAAGATAAAAGGAAATACAAAACACGAAGATAATGTTTTCAACTGTGAGATATCATTAACTAATTCACTGAATAATCATCTGAATCTAAAACTCGATTAGTAGACGTTTCAAGAAATATGAGGGAAAAGATAGAAGTTTTCAACGCTAATATACCTACTTATCAGAAATAATATTTGTCTGAAATTATTACCATGCGAAAGAAGCATTATTTATTCAAACAAATCTCCTCTAACAATTAAGGAAATCAATCCCGATATTATTGATCTGATATTAGTCGTTGCACTTACGAATGTTCGTTTCACGTATACGTTTCACTAATTTCTCTCGGCACAGATACGTCGCCGCTCCAGAAATACATTCGAATCTAGCGATCGACTAATCTGTTACACTTCGATCACAGGTACCAATTTGATCCAGTAATATTACTTTACAGTTAAAACGACATATTGCAGAGCCTCGATTAATCGGTTTAACCGGAAGGCTGATAGCCTGGATAAATTGAGACCTGAAGCGAAGAAACTGAAAATATAGAAATACATTCCGTTTTACGATATGTATGTTTACAAGTAGATACATTCCCTTTTGATTTTATTAAATTTTCACTTAGAAGTGTTTCATCATGTTATTTTGCATCTTTAACGGCATTTATTCCGGTGTGTCGTTACATTGTTCCAAATATAGGAAACGTAAGTTCTATCTCGCACTCTTTGCAAGAATTCCTAACGAAGCCGTGAAAAAGATAATAAAGAAAGATGTTATCTATGTGTGCGTCTGTATTTAGCTGGAAATGTCGAAGAACCTATCATGTAATGGACTTTCTCAATGTTAGGAACAACAAGGCGACATATTCAAAGGTGTTACATGCGTGCATAAAGGTGCATCATTCTACATTCTGTAAACTGTAAAAGTAAACTTGGCTATCATGTTTTATGTGATACATACGTTTCTGTTACCGAAAGTGACAAGTTATGCAGTAGTGAATTTTGAATGCCTTATTTTTTACATAATCCTATTATACCAGATAACCGAGACTCTGAGTAATCAAGACTACGGATAATCGAGGTCCCATTGTATCGAATTTTCATCGAATTTTCATCGAATTTTCATCGAATTCCATACAATGACACACCTCGTTCAATGATTCATCAAAGACAGCGATTGTAGACGTTTAAATAAAATTTCTGATTCGAGTAACAGTGAATAACGTATTAGAAATGAATAATGTTAGAGTATATCATGAACGACGTATAATTTCAAGTGATTTCGATCAAAGCTAATGGATGGGTACATAGTTTATTCAAACTGTTTCAACTTAAATAATTGTTAAGTATTTATGTAACTGGAGCATGTATTATTTTGTATTAGCTTAAAAGATAGCCAATCAGTAGACAATCACTGTTTTCTGATTCTGTTCTTGTAGTTTAAGTTATCTTTAAATAATACGTTTTACTGGATGTAATCTATCGGAATATCGTCAATGTGTAACATTCATAATGTTTTAGCGAACTTTGTCCGTGCTGTGAAAATTGATTACCAGATAAGGTCAAATTTGAACTATTTGTTGGTAATTCTTAATAACTAAAGGATTTTTGTCAATCGACAAAGCTGTTCGAATACGATGCAACATGGTGTTTTTTGTTGCAGAACTTAAATGATCCATCGATTTGAGATTATTACTCTTGAATGTTGTTCTTATGGCCGTCTCTAGTCACTACAGACCAGAGAATAGTCCCATGCAGCCCGATAGTTGTGCAGTTTATCCTCTTGAGTAGATAATATTTATAGGCGTCCGGTCTCAAGCGTATACTGTATACAGGTCTGAGAACTACTTTCGAGGGTTGCTCTCGTCTCGACGCGGACTTGTAATTTTATAATTTTATAATTTTATAATTTTATAATCTTAGTTTTAACCTTAGGAAGATCAAGTAACTTATCTCTGTAACGAACCATTTCTTTTCTTTTATTGTTTACTTTCCAGACTAGCGATAACGCGTTTTTAATCTTTTGGTTATGTCTTTAGTCTTCTCTAATTCTTTAGTCTTCCTATGGTTAAACTTCCTTTTGTTCTCTCGTTTTTTTGCGTATGTCCACCGATAATTCTATACCGAATTATATGTACATAAATGCATTTTCAACGGATGTGTCCGATTTCACATACATTGCATTTCAAATCATCAGATGAGACAGCTTCGATCCGTTTGGTGTTCCAAAGTCACTTGTACGGAACATTTAGTGTCCAGTGACTGATAAAGCAGTACTGTTAAGATAGCTTGTAATTTTAATATTCTATATTCCATTTTATAATGTCTTGGGTATTTAATTATGATACATAAATATATAAATATATATATATATATATACATATACACGCTAGCTTTAGACGGCAGGATTTTCGAAAACGACTTGGTCAAACATCCATTTGCGATTCGATAACGCTTTCACGTAAGTGAAGTGGTTGAATGAATTTTATTAAATGCGCCAGTAGAACACTTAAAACATTTTTAGTTATCGGTCGTTTTCGAATATCTTCAATAAAAAAAAATTGCCACGCTCGGGCGCTACCATTCTGTGATCCAATGAAAAATTAATTAAACTCATACCGAGAATACGTGAATAATGTTCTTTCGAAGAATCTTATTCTGTACATATATATTATTATACATCTCTACCTTTTTTAAATTGGTGCACTGTACATTAATAAGTGACAATTGAATAGGGGAATAGAAGGGGGAGACAGGGGTGAG